TGGTGGCTCATGGGGACCCTATGGTGCTGGGGATAGGCCAGACTTCCTGCATGCAAAGCCTGTCTCCAGCTTTCTGAGCCATCTCTGAGTGCATCCCACAGCTTTAGACAGGGTGTTCTATGGGCTGAGACAGACCTCTGCAGGCTGGGCACAGGTCTGTACACACAGGAGTACCCACGAGAGATCCCTGAAGATGATCAGGAACAATCTCAGAGCACTGACTTCAAAACAGTTCCTGAAGTTTGCTGGGTGTGACCTATGGAGTAGGGCTGGAGCGATAGCACAGTGGTAGGGTGTTTGCCTTGCACGCAGCCAAGATGACCAACCCGAGTTCGATTCCTCTGCCTCTCTCGGAGAGCCCGGCAAGCTACCAAGAGTATCTCGCCCGCACGGCAGAGCCCGGCAAGCTACCCGTGACGTATTCGATATGCCAAACACAGTAACTTCTTAAGAAGTCTCATGATGGAGACGTTACTGGGCCCGCTCGAGCAAATCGATGAACAACGGGAGGACCGTGACCGTGACCTACGGAGTAGCTATAAAAAGGTCCCAATATTCCTTCCCTAGCATCCTGCTGTGCCAAGACCAACAACCATCTCTCTCTTCCCCTTCAAACTGAAGAGACTGAAGAGAAGAGAAACTGAAAGAGAAACTGAAGAGAAACATGCTGAGGAGACTCTTCACAGCATATGACCCCCACATCACTGCTCACTTCCTCTCTAACATCAACTTCCCTCTCCCTCTTCCCCCCACATCCCCTGGTTTGGGCACCTGTGAATCCTTGGGACTCATCGAAGTCTCTGCTCCCAGCCACTTCTTTGTGGCTCTAATTCCCACAATCCCATGTTCAACCTTTCCCCTGCATTCTCTCTACTCTCACTAGCTCACTTGCTCAATCGCCTTCTGCTTAGACTACCTTTCCCCTTAGCCCTCTCTTTGCTTCTCTTTCATTGTCTTTCTTTTCTTCTTTTTTTTCTTTTTCTTCTTTTTTCTTCTTTTTTTTTCTTTTTTTTCTTTTTTTCTTTTTTTTCTTCTTTTTTCTTTCTTTTTCTTCTTTTTTCTTCTTTTTTTTTCTTTTCTTCTGCCTTTTGAACATAGGCAGGTATCTATCTTTTTGAATAAATTGATCTGTGTTTGGTGGGCATAGATGCCTAGAAATGGGATAGCTGAGTCACAGAGAGTTTCCATTCTTACTTTTTGGACAAATGTCTATGTTGTTTTCCATAGAGGTTCACCACATGACATTCCCACCAGCAGTGAGTTGCCACATCCCTGCCAACACTGATTGTTTTCAGCTTATGTTATAGATGCCATTCTCCTAGAGGTGAGAGGATACCTCATTTTTTTTGTTTTTATTTGTGTTTCCCTGATAGTATGTGATGATGAACAGCTTTTCATATGCTTATTGCCCTTCTGTATGTCATCTTCATGGAAGCATGTTCATCTCTTCTCACCATTTTTGGGTTTTTTTGTTTTTTTTCTTATTCTATTGCATTTTTTTTCTTTTTTTTATTAGTGAAGCACCATAAGGTACAGTTATAGACATACAAATTTTGTGCTTGGGTTTCAGTTATACAATGATCAAGTACCCATCCCTCCACCAGTGCCCATCATCCACCACCACGGGTCCCAGCATCCCCCCACCCCCCATCCCCCTGTCCCACCCTGCCTCTGTGGCAGGGTATTCCCCCTTGTTCTCTCTCTCTTCTTTTGGGTACTGTGTTTTGCAAGAGAGGCATTGAGTGGCAATCATGTTTGGTCTATAGACTACTTTCAGCGTGATTCTCCCACCCTGGGAGGGTCCTCACAACACCCTTTATTTGGTGCTCTCTTCTCTAGCTGAGCTTCCTTTTCACCTAGAGCCTGTGGCTGGCCTTCAAGTCATGGAGCAAAATTCCTCTCACCATTTTTGGATGGGGCTGTTATTGACTTTAATGTTGCTGAGCATGTGGCTATTCTATGTATCTTGAATGTTAGTCCTTTATCTGATTATTGTGAGCAAATGTCTTCTCCTAATTAGTCAGAGCCATTTTATTTTATCTCAAGTTTCTTTTACCATGTAAAAACTTTTCAATTTCATCTGATCCCACTTCTCAGTTTTCATTTTGTTATCTTTGCCATGGAAAATGATGTAGACTCAAGTCATCCAACACTTTTGAGATCCAGACCCTAGAGAGGTCTGCCTATGTTCTCCTCAGTGCATTTTATGGGTTCTGGTTCTATTCTCTAGGTCTTTGGTCCACTTTGATTTAACCTTTGTGTATGGTATGAGATATCTAGTTACAGTTTTACAAAAGGAGTTATTGGATTTCCCAGCACAATTTTCTGAAAGATTTTCCTTACTCCACATCTGATGCACCTGGCTCTTTTGTCATAGATTATTGTCATAGATTATATTTTGTCATAGATTATCAAGGGTTTTTAACTGGTTACTCCATTCTAATCTATTGTTCTGACAAACTCTGGTCATGGGGACTCTCTCATAGGCTTCAAAACCAGACTACCGAACACACAAAAGAATCTCGGAACCGAGCAGCTCGCTGTTGAGGTACCTCTGGACTTTAAGCCAGGCCGACTCCACCGGGGTGCCTCAGGCTAGAGCAGGCATCATCCCTCCACCTGCCCCTTAAGAATCCCGGTGGCCACCAACTTTCAGAACCCAATAAGAAATGCAGGTACGCAGGTTCAGTGATGGCAAACTCCAGGCCTCAAGGGGTAAGGGATGAGTTGGTCTTTCTCATTCCCCATCCCTATGGGACCCTGGAGGTCACACCCACAAACTGTCTCTGGCTGCTATTTAAGCTTCTTAATAGCCATGATGCAGAGACACACAAAAGAATCTCGGAACCAAGCAGTTTACTGCAGAGATTTTTCCAGACCCTAATTATCTAAAATTTTAGAATTCCGGGCACACATGGCTGCTTTCACTATTCATAACAAACAGTACAAAAGAGAGTATGGGGGAGATTATTGTCAGCCATAGAGGCAGGGAGAGGGGTGGGATGGGGGGATATTGGGGACATTGGTGGTGGAATATGTGTGTGCACTGGTGGAGAGATGGGTGTTCAATCATTGTATAACTGAAACTCAAACGTGAAAGCTTTGTAACTGTATCTCATGGTGATTCAATTTAAAAAAAGGAAAAAAGGAAAAAAAAGAAAAAAAGGAAAAAGGAAAAAGGAAAAAAAAACTACCTGTTATTTTCTCCTTTGACTCATAGGTGCTAGATGTTTTAGAGATTCTTTCTCTCTCTTTGTCTTTCATCTCTTACAAGGAGGAATCTATTTGACTTGCAGAAATTGAGGGATTTAATTCTCTAACAGAATCCTCAAGTCTGATGAGTCAGGGGTGGGGGGCTCCCTCTATGGTACTACTATGTGATCTCAGGGATACTTTCCCAACTCCCACACTCCCTGATCTCTATTCTGCCCAACTTCTTGGTTTCTCTTTAGTTCTTGCTCCGCTTCTTCCATCTCCTTACCATTAAAGGAGTAAGGCCTAGAATTGAACTCCAAGTCAGCAAATTTACAGATTTTGCAATTATCTGGTGCCAGGAGTGGCAATTTCTCTTTTCTTTCTTCCTCTGCATTCCTTCTTTTTGCACTGAGTCAGCACACAGATGCTGGATTGGCTGGTGAGTCACCCTACCTCTCTTTTATCCCAATTTTGGAAAGTCATGTGATTGTTCAACTGGGAAGGAATTAGGCCTAGTCTCATAGGTTAAATCTTGGATGACAGACGCTTGACACATATCAATAGGTTCCACCAATGATTAGAAATCATTGATTAGAAATGATTAGAAAAATGCTACAAAAACAAGCTTAGTCTCTGTCTTATTGGACACTGTGACTGACATATTGAAAAACAAGACAAGGAGCTGGAGCAATAGCATAGTGGGTAGGGCATTTGCCTTGCACACGGCCAACCCAGGTTCGATTCCCAGCATCCCATATGGTCCTCTGAGCACCACCAGGAGTAATTCCTGAGTGCAGAGCCAGGAGCAACCCCTGTGTATCTCCGGGTGTGACACCCCTCCCCCCAAAAAAAAGACAAAAAGGTAGAGTGGATAAAGAGAAGAAAGAAAAGGGTAAAGATAGAAAGAAAAGGGAATGAGATCCACACCAGAGTCAGTCATGTCAGCAGCCCTTTCCAACTTCTTAGTGATGTCAGCTGGCCCTGGAACCTTCCAGAGATCAGTCCAAGGATACTAACATCCCTAACTTGTTCCCAGTGCATGAGGGAACTTAGCCTTACTATATTTCCACTTCCACAGGCTGGGCACCTTTAAGAGTGTGGCTCGGTATCACCAGGTCCTTGTCTAGAGTGAAAAGACAGTGTTGCCCTGTAGCTAGAGCAACAGTAGGTGTGGGAACATTCCCTAACCCTGCCCCAGGTCTAATAAACCACCTGCATCCACACAACACAGGAACCACAGTTCTTCTTATTTAGTCACTGGAGTGTATTTTTGGTTTCTCCAGTGGGGTACAAGGGTTTCTCATGCTCCTGTGCATAGCATCTCTGCAAAGTCACACAGTTCAAAGTAAACATTTTGGTCAATACTGGAGTTATTTGTGCCCTTACAATATTCTCAGAGAAAACTTCCCCATCTCAGAGAGTATTGACAAGTATTGAAGAGAACTTCACACAGGCTAATTCCCTTCCTCTGTTCTTGCAGATTAGATAGCCCACCATTTTCTCATTTTTATGGTAGTCCCTAAGCTACCTTGGGGGCTTGAGATGTGGAAAATGTGAAACTTCACTAGGACGTTGAACAAGATTAGACATGGATTAAAAGAAGACGAAGCACTTCTAATTTTATGACTTTATTTTATTTGCACCAAAGCAAATCTTGACAACCCATTATAGCGGAAATACAAATCATTTCCATTGCAATTGCAAAGAGGCCGACACGCACATCACTAAGACAGCCTCAGACTTTTGATTGGCAGCTTAGGTGCACATCCTCGGACATCTCCCTCTGTGGGGTCCCCAGGCACAGCTCAGACCTGGACATAGGACAGGCTGACATCCCCGGTGATCTGCAGCACGTTCACCAGAGTGAAGCTCAACATACGGTATCTGTAGTCAAAGATGTGCTGGCCGCTGGCAAACACCTGGAAACCATGGATGCTGGCAGTGATGGACAGCTGTGGGAGAGAGGTGGGTGTGAAACGGAGAGACGCAGATGGTGGAGCGACAGGGGAGGGGAGAGAGACTCACGTCGAAGAACAATCCTGGACGAAAGGGATTGTAGGAGATGCTCCTCTCCTCGGGCCCCCATTCGCCCTTCTGGAGACTATTCCTCACCACAGCATCCTCAGAGATGCGAGCACTAATATGCAGGGCTACGTCCCCTGTGGAGCCCACATTAAAGTTGATGTCAAACCTGGAGGCAGACAGGAAGCAGGGAGTCAGTGCTAAGAGGCCTCAGCACATGCTCCCCAAGGGAGGAGAGATCGGACCGGAGGGGCGGGGAGCCGGGCTGGACTTTGGGCCTGAGGGCTGCGGATCCCCACCTCTATCTGGGTCTGTACCTGGAGGCTGACTGAGAGACGAAACCCCTGATCACGATGGTTCTGTTTGGGGTCAGGCCCCCCTGCAGGCTCACGACGTAAGGTACAGGCTGTGAAGTGAGAACATGAGGTCCCTTTATCTCTCAATCACCAGGAGCCAGAGACAGGCCCATTGTCAGGAGGGGTACCCACTCCTCCTAGAAAATCCTCTCACCCTCTCCCATCACTCCCACACCCCTTCTGCCCCTCTACATCCTCCCCTGTCCGAACACCCCCAACTGGACTCCCAACTCTTCATCAGCAGTCTACCCAGGAACCATGCATGCTCAGTCTAACCCCATATGCTGTCTTACCGGGTTAATGACTGGGGATACCTCTGTGATCTGTCAAGTAAAGGAGACAGAGAGTATAAAACTGTCAGCAAATGTGTAAGGCAGAGCACTGCATGCATGCATTTTTCGGGGTGCTGGGTGCTCCACATTCTCACCCCATGCCCCCATGGTCCATAACCCTCCCACTTACAGACAGGTTACCAGAAAGTAGATAAATTCCTTTTTCAATCTACAATAGAAACAAATAGACAGCAATCACGAGGTGTTTTGAGGACCCTCAACCCCAAAACTCACATTAAAGAGAAATCCATCACCCAACATCAAATATTTTAAGGGCACACCCAAGTAATCATGTGTATTGATGACACTGAGAGAGAAGGAAGTGTTGACACCCCAAATTTATATTTGGAGAGTGTGATGGGTGTACTCCAAAACACCCCCAACTCTACCATCCATGCATAGTCTGTGAAAGAGGCACCTGATGGCTCATTTATGGAGTCGGACCGTCCATGATTGGCATCTTCAGAGAACGAAGAGTGAACAATGAGTGACTTCCTTCTTTGTTGTTTTGGTTTGGGACCACACATGGAGATGCAATAGGGACCACTTCTGGCTCTGGTGGTGCTGGGGTATGCTGTGTTGCTGGGTGTGGAACCAAGCCTCCTTCATGCTAAGCCTGTCTCCAGCCCTTTGAACCCTCTCTTGGTTCACCCCACGCCTTTATACAAAGATGTTCCATGGCTGAGACAGACTTCTGCAGGCTGAGCACACGCCTTTCATGCAGGATGCCCCACATTCCATCCCTAGCTCCTTAAGGAACCCTGAGTACTACTAGGAGTGACTTCAGAGCACGAAATTGGTAATCTACTCTGAACTTTTCTGGGTGTGGTACAACAGCAACTACCAAAAGGTCCTAATGTTCTTGTCTCCTCCCTGGTTTCTTGTTGTGCCAGGACCTTCAACCACCCTCTCTCCTCCCTCAACCTGAAGGCCATGGTGAGGCAATCCTTCTCAGGGTACACCCCATCCCCTGTGCTCCTATTCTCCATCTCTTACTTCAGTATGTCTCCCACACAGCTCCCCACTTCTGGGAACCTAGAGTCCTTGGGACCTACCCATCCACTCCCTGCCCATAGTCACTATGCTGCCTCTGTGTGGCTCTAATTCCTGCACTCAGCTTCTCCTCATCTCTCTCTTTCTCTCTCTCTTCTTTTCTATCTCTAAAAGTTGGTTTATGACTAAACAACCTTTCCCTTGCCTCCTACCTTCCTTAATCCTCTTTTTCCTCCCTTCTCTTTCCATTTTCTTTCTTTCCTTCTTTATGGGGAGAGGGGGCTCCACAGATGTGTTCAGGTATTTCCATGACACCTCTCAAGAAATCAACCAATGGGAGGAAAGAAAGGAGGAGAGCTAGCCAATGAGGAAAACCACTCACCTTCCTGGAGGTAGAACTTCCACCAACAAAGGTGATGGATTGAAGCTTCAGGTCTCCTTCCACATTCAGGTGGGTGACCTTCTGGAGGGAAATCCGGTGCCCAAACTCATAGAAAGGACTTCCATTCACCAGTACCTGGAAGGTAAGGGCAAGGTCAGGAAGAGCACAGAGACCTTGGGAAGGTCAAAACAGGAAACAGGGAACAGGGACATTTTTCATGAAGGATCATACTGGGTGATGATCTGCAACCCCAGTCAGGGGACTTCAGGCGTCCAAAGATCTAAGGTCAAGTAGAGGTCAAGGGTCAGCTCCTGTGGATGGTGTGGAGGTGTCTAAATGGGTGAGTAAGTGCTTTGTATGTCTGAACCCCAAGTTCTAACCTGGCACCAAGAGAGGATAGCTCAAGGATGGCAGATGAGAGGGGAGAGAGAATGCAATTGTGAGGGAGGTTGATTCTAAATCTAGTTGGATCCTAGTTTGGGCTTTTGAGCCTAGTTCTCTTGTTTGGGGGGTTGGAGAGAGAAATTACACTGCCAAGTGCTCAGGAGCTATTCCTAGATGTCTGTGCTCAGGTGTAGGCACTGGTTTGTGCCCAAGGAGCCATATGTATGCAGGGAACTGCATATGTATGCAGAGTGGCACTGCCACAGTTCCATGCAAGGCCATACTTCCTGTGTATGATCTCTCCAGCCCTGCATACAGTTCTACCATAGTCCCTATGACCAAAGATGCCTGTATCCTCTATATGAGCCTTCTCTGAAAAATGTATTGCAGACAGGGAACAAGGACTGGGGTGTGGTTCAGCACAGAAACACATGGTGGGAATGTGACTTTACAGGTTTGATCACCATCTTCCCCAAAATATCAACATTTGGAGTGCAGCTCAACCAAGCAAGAAACTTCTCGTAAACCAGGGCCATAAAGGGCAAGAAGGAGAAAAAAGGTTTTTAATAAGTGGAGATGGAGAGAATGCTCCATGGCTGATGCTCATGCCATGTACGCAAGAGACCTGGTTTGATCATCTAGATTGAATGGTGCCCCGGCACCAGCCAGAGAGGCACCTCCAAAAAAACAAAATAAATTTAAGCAAGAAAAGAAGCTGAGAAACAAGGGCAATGGGGGTGGCCAAAAGGATGTGGTCTGGCTCTGACCTTATAATGTTCCTCCATGACCATCACCAGCAGCTCGAAGGGCTCCCCCTTTTTGAAGGGCAAGCCCCTTTTTCTCTCCTCCTTGTTCCATTGACCTGACTCCCGTGAGTTGAAGACCACCATGTCACTGCCATCAAAGCGAGGGTTGAAATGGAAGGCGATGTTGGCCTCAGGTTCTGGTCCCAAGGCAAAGTTCACTGCAAACCTGGGGGAACAGGAGTGTCTGTTTCCCAAGTCTCCCAAGCCAGGGTCACACAACTGGGACAGGGCTCCAGGGAGCCCTCTGAGTCCCACCCTGAGGTGATTCAGGGTGACAGGAGACGGGAGCAGAGAGAGTGAATGGAGCTACTGACCAAGGGCAGTAGGGGGCAGTGCCCTGAGACCCATCGGTTGGAGGGACAGATTCCTGGGGTCCCTCTCCCTACTCTTACTCACTGACACCCCCAACTCCAACTTTGAATCTCCAGCCACTGTCCCAGCACCCTCAGCTCTTGCAGTTCAGGCCTCCATGGTCTCAAAACCCATGTACCAGAAGGCAGAGGAACGCAAAAGTCAGAGCACTGTCCCCTCACTGGAGAACCCCGAGTTCTCCTTGGGCAGTTTCCCCAAGCCCTGGTCTTTGTACCAACACTTTCCTCTCCTTAGTCCATACTTAAATGTGCCCTTCTGGAAGAACATCCCTGGCCTCACAGTTTAGAGGGACAGTGCCACGCCTCTCCTCCAGCTACACCCTGTCTCCCACCCCACCTCATCCCAACATAGTAGTCTCCACACTTACTATTTTCTTTTGGTGGGGGAAGGTTTCTACAGCAATTCTGGGCTTCTAGGAAGATCCTCATGGTGAGACTTACCTGTGTGGACCTGTGAGCTCCCCCAACCCAGCCCAGCATGGGGGTCCCTCACCTCTTCATGACCTTGTTGGCCACTCCCTCGATGTTAATGAACATCCCGACATCCAGGCCTCCTGGGATGGACTTGTTGAAGGGCAGCGTCTGTGGAAGGTTCTAGGTCAAGCCTTGATGGCCATATGCACAGGACAGTTTTTCCTCCTCACAGGCAAGCCCTCCCCCGACCTAAAATCCATTTCAAAAGGGTAAGGGAACTCAGGAATAAGGATTAAGCATGAAGAATAGGGTTCAGATTTAGGAATGGAGTGTCAGTGGGGAGGAAATCAAATTCGAGGATTGATATGGGGGGCAGGCCCGACCATCCAGGAGCCACCACCAAGCTTCAGGCTGGGGAAGCTGGTGAGAGGGCATCAGGGTACACCTGGGTCAGGCCCTGGGTCCATCTCTCACCGGATTGTAGCTGGGATAGTAGCCAGGTGCAGGGACGAAAGTCATCTTCAGAAGCTGGACTGGAGGCTCGTCTTGTGGGCAGAGCTGCAGGACCAAAGGAACAGCTGGCAGCTGGCGTGATTCTTATACTCTCCAGCGGTCACTGTCCCCTCTGCCTAGAAAGCCCCACCTCTCCCACCCCCTAAGACCTTTCTAAGCACAGGTTGCCCCAGAAAACAGTTCCCCCCTGGCCTAATCTCCTGCAGTTTCCTTCTGTTACATCAGAATCCAAGCGTTATCTGTTGGAGGCCCCCAAGTATTGCAGGCAGACAGTGGGGTCCCTAGTACTGACCTTTTCAGGAACTAGTCACCCACCCTGGAGGGGCCCAAAGGCAGGAGATGCAGATATTGAGCTCTTGGGACATGGAGAAAATGAGGCCCCAACAAGGTGCAGAAATTGAGACACCACCCAGAGCAGAGTGGACCCCTTAGAAAAGGAGAAGCTTCAGGAATCTAAAGGTGGTGATAAGGAATCATATGCGATGCCAGGGATCAAATTTGGTCACCCATGTGCAAGACTAGTGCCCTACCCACTGTACTATTGCTCAGCACAGTCTTTTCCTTTGACCATATACATTTGGTACATAAACTATTATTAATCATCATTTCCATGCAGTAATCACTCCAATACCAGAGCCTGCACCCCTCTGCCAGTGTCCCAGAACCCAACTAAACCTCCTCCACCATATAAGCTCAGTTCTACAGACAAAATCTTCCTTTCTGATAACTTTGCCCATTTGTTATTCCCTTACTATGTTTCTTTTTTATTCCATACATGAAACAACTCTCCCTTTTAAATAATTTTTTAAATATTTTGGTTTGGGGGCTGCATACATCAGTGTTCATGGGTTGCTACTGGCTCTGCTCTCAGGAATTACTCCTGAAGGTGCTTGGGGGATTATATGTGGTACCAGGTAATCAAACCCAGGTTTGCCACATGCAAAGCAAGTGCTCTACCCACTGTAGTATCTCTCTAGCCCAAATTTTTTTTAATTGTGGCATTGGGCTGGAACTATAGCACAGCGGGTAGGGCGTTTGCCTTGCACACAGCCGACCTGGCCCACTTGAGTTCGATTCCTTCACCCTTCTCGGAGAGCCTGGCAAACTGCCTAGAGTATCTCACCCGCATGGCAAAGCCTGGCAAGCTATCTGTGATATATTCGATATGACAAACACAGTAACAACGAGTGTCACAATGGAGAAGTCACTTGGCCCAATCAAGCAAATCGATGAACAACAGGAGGACAATGCTACAATGCTACAGTGGAGTGATGATACCTATAGCTACAAAACACATAAAACTAATCTCCTGAAATTCCACAAATTGTAAATCCACAATGGTAAGTTGATAAAGTAGTATTTTTTCAAAACTTTTATCATTCTTGGAGCTGCAGGAATAGTACTGCAGGTAAGGTGCTTACCTTGCATGCAGCCGACCTGGGTTTGATCTCCAGCATTCCATATGGTCCCCAAGCACCACCAGGAGTAATTTCTGAACACAGAGCGAGGAGTAACCCCTGAGCATAGCCAGGTGTGATCTTTGAAACAAAAAAAATCACATTTTGTAAGGTATATAATTTTAATTACTATTATAAATAATCCTGTGCTAATGGACTTCTAAATTTTACTTTAAAATTTGAAATAGGGAAATTAGACAAGTGTGAATTTTAGTAAAAGTGAAGATAATGTTGTTGCTGTGTTTGGCATATCGAATACATCACCGGTGGCTTGCCAGGCTCTGCCGTGCGGGCGAGATACTCTCGGTAGCTTGCCGGGCTCTCCGAGAGGGGCGGAAGAATAGAACTCGGGTCGGCCATGTTGGCTGCATGCAAGGCAAACGCCCTACCGCTGTGCAAAATTTTTTCCTAATTTTTTAGTCCACACCAGGATGTGCTCAGGGCTTTCTTACTTGTACTTAGTCCATACTCGGGGATCGTTTCTGGCTGGGTCAGGAGACCATATGGGGTGCTGGGGATTGAACCTGCATTGGCTATATGCAAGGTAAGCACCCTGCCCACTGTACTATATCTCTGGTCCTGAATGAAGAAATTTTTAAGGAAAAAATCTTAATAGGCCTATAGCAATATAAAATGCATTTTACAAAAGTAAGATCAAAATAGAATTAAACACCTCAATATCAGACCTGAATCCATAGGTATATGAAGAGAAACATAGGCAGGACCCTCCGTGACATTGAAGCTAAAGGAATCTTCAAAGATAAAACACCACTCACCAAGCAATTTGAAGCAAAGATAAACAAATGAAACTAAGAAGTTTCTGCACCTCAAAGGAAATGGTGACCAAGATACAAAGACAGCCCACAGAATGGGAAAAGGTACCCAATACCCATCTGATAAGGGGTTAATATCAAAGATATAGCATGCTGAGTGAAATGAGTCAGAAGGAGAGGAACAGACATTGAATGATTGATTAAATAGGAGAGGGGTTGACAGAAGGAAAACTAGGGACATTGGTGCTGGGAAATGCACACTGGTGATTGGATGGGTATTGGATCATTCTATGAATGAAACTCAATCATGAACAATTTTGTAACTGTGTATATCAGGGCTGGAGCGATAGCACAGCAGGTAGGGCGTTTGCCTTGCACGCAGCCAACCCGGGTTCCATTCCTCAGTCCCTCTCGGAGAGCCCGGCAAGCTACCGAGAGTATCACGCCCGCACGGCAGAGCCTGGCAAGCTCCCCATGGCATATTCGATATGCCAAAAACAGTTACGACAAGTCTCATAATGGAGACGCTACTGGTGCCTGCTCGAGCAAACTGATGAACAACGGGAGGACAGTGCTACAGTGCAGTATATCATTCAATAAAATTAATTAAATATTAAATAAATAAAAGTAAATTTTATCCTGATAAAGAGAGTAATTGGCTTTATATTAAAAAATATTTTGGGGCTGGAGCGATAGCACAGCGGGTAGGGCATTTGCCTTGCACGCAGCTGACCCAGGTTCGATTCCCAGCATCCCATATGGTCCCCCGAGCACCGCCAGGAGCAATTCCTGAGTGCATGAGCCAGGAGTAACCCCTGTGCATTGCCGGGTGTGACCTAAAAAGCAAAAAATAAATAAATTTTAAAAATATATATTTTATTATAAACACTGCCTAAGTGTCTGAATTAATAAGTAGAATATTATAATAAAAATCTTTATTGTAATAAAAATTTATTGTAATAAAAATCCATGAAAAAACAACCTGAGTGCATGGAATCTTCAATATAAATAAAATGTTAATTTTTTACTGAAAATGTAGAAAATCCCTTAGCAAGCTAGGAGTAACACACCTTTCTTTACCTAGTAGAGTGCAAACTTAAGGGTGCTTACCTTGCATATGGCCAATGCAGGTTCAATCCCCAGCATCCCATATGGTCTCCAATACCCATCCTTTCACCAGTGTGCGTTTCCCAGCACCATCATCAGTGGAGTCCACTGATGATGCCATGAGTGAGTGCCATATTCAATGCTAAGTACTGAGAAGGTTATCCTATCCTTGAAAGAAGCTCCTTCAATGCATCCTGCAAAACTGATTTCAAGCTTATGAATTCCCTAAGCTGTTGCCTGTTCATGAAGCTCTGCAGGGTTCCTCCAAATATGAATGATAATCTAGCTGAATAGAGTATTCTTGATGAGGTGTTCTTTCATTGCATTTTTGTACTATATCTTCTTGCTCATGAAGCCTCATTAGATCTGCTGAGAATCTAATGAACTTTCCTTTGAATGTAAATTCCTTTCTGCTTTCAATATTATGTCTCTTTCTTATGGTTTTTGTCATTCTAATCACATTGTGTCTTGGAGTTTTCCTATTTAATTCTATTTTATTTGGATCTTTTGGATCGCTGTGTTCGGTTGCCTGTATTCCTCAACTCTGGGAAATTCTTACTTATGATCCCTTGAACTTTTGGTTCTTCATCAAATTCACCTTCTTGTTCCTCAGGGACTCCACTGATGATTCTTTTTAAATTACTTTTAATTTTATTTTATTTTTATAAGGTTGTTCACAATAATTTATTACATTCAATATTCAAACACCAATCCCACCACCATTACACCTTATTCATCACCATTATTTCAAATTTTCCCAACCACCACTCAAGGCTGCCCCAATAGCAAGCCCTAAATAATATATTTTGTATTGTTTGTTATGAATCATTCTCTAAGAATGATCCCAAGAGTTTTCCTTAGAATAAAATGTGTGAAGATTGTCGTACCTCACTCTGGAGTCACTAAGCCCTTGTATAAGAGATTACTAACAGGGGCTGGAGCGATAGCACAGCAGGTAGGGCGTATGCCTTGCACATGGCTGACCTGGGTTCGAGTCCCAGCATCCCAAATGGTCCCCTGAGCACTGCCAGGGGTAATACATGAGTGCAGAGCCAGGAGTAACCCCTGTGCATCGCCGGGCATGACCCAAAAAGTAAAAAATAAGAGAGGTTAGTAAAATGTTTTTACAGATTGAGACTTGTGTGCTAGTATTTTTAATCGAGATTGGTTGCCCTCTACCTTACATCCTATCCAATGTGTGCTACTCCTGGTACATCAGTGGAATAGCATATGAGATGATATGTGGCCGCGTGCTTCAGGAATTCTAAAATTTTAAATAAGGTGATACAGTTGGAGTTATATTTTTAACTGGATGGTGACTTTGAGGTATGAGACATCTCTGCAGCTTGTTGATCTCTTCTGAGATTTATTTGTGAGTCTCTAGATCATGGCTGATTAATGAGTTGATATTACTCCAGAGGCAGTTTGTGGGTGTGACTGCCAGGCTCCTGGAAGAACAGGACTGGAGGGAGGTCACCTATTCCAACCCTATGCGATCCTGGAGATTTTTTTTTTTTATGAACAACTTTTTTTTTTTTAATTTTTATTAGTGAAACACCATGAGGTACAGTTGTAGGCTTTTTATTTTTTGTGCTTGGGTTTCAATTATACAATGGCACTGGTGGAGGGATCTTGGAGACTTTGGTCACAAGACCCTCATACTTGAGTT